CTTGTTTTTCCATTTATAGGGCACAGATTTTACATAGTTCCTAAGGGCTTTAGGATCTTCAGAATGAACTTAGTCACTAACTGCATTGGCCCCTAATAAGAGAGTAAGCCTGTCCTTTGAAGCTTTGAAGCCAGGCCTTGACTTCTCTCTAGCTGTGAAAATCCTTGATGGCATCTTCTTCCAATAGAAGACTGTTTCATCTGCATTGCAAATCTGTTGTTTAGTGTAGCCACCTTTATCAGTTATCTTTGCTCGATCTTCTGGATAACTTGCTGCAGCTTTTACAACAGGATTTGAAGTATCAGCTTGTGTTTATGCGTTTCAGATACCACTTGTTTCCTTAAACTTCAAGAACCGACCTCTGCTGTCTTCAGGCTTTTTTTCTGCTGCTTCCTCACATTTCTCAGCTATCATAGAATTGAATGGATTTAGGGCCTTGCTGTGGATTAGGCTTTGGCTTAAGGGAATGTTGTGGCTGCTTTGATTTTCCATCCAGACCACTAAAACTTTCTCCATATCAGCAACCTAAGGTTGTTTTGCTTTCTTAGCATTCATGTTTGCTGGAGTAGCACTATCAGTTTCCTTCAAGAGCTTTCCCTTTGCATTTACAACTTGCCTAACTGTTTGATACAAGAGGCCTGTTTTGCCTTTTAGCATGCCTACTTCACTAGGCTTAATGATTTCAAGCTTTTGATTTTTTTTTTTTTTTGAGTTGTAGTCTCACCTTGTCGCCCAGACTGGAGTGCAGTGGCCGTTCCCAGCCACCGCAGCCTCCACCTGCTGGGCTCCGGCAATCCTTCCGCCTCAGCCTTCCAAGTTAGCTGGAACTACAGGCGTGCGCTACCACGCCCGGCTGATTTTTTATTTATTGTAGAGATGAGGTCTCCCAAGTTGCCCAGGCGGGTCTCGAACCTGCGAGCTCAGGCAATCCACCCATCTCAGCCTCCCAAGGCTCAGGATTACAGGCTGAGCCACTGAGCCCGGCTTCAAGCTTTTGATTTAAAGTGAGAGACATGTGACTTTCTTTCACTTGGACACTTAGTGACCACTGTAGGACCAGTATTTAGGTATAAGAATAAAGCTGCCACAACTACACGCATTTTAAACAGTGCCCCATATGGAATTGTTCATTTCTCTTCTTCCAGTTTCCCATTTTGAGGACTTTTTTTTTTTTTTAAGCTTAGTGACTAGTACCACCTTCCTTTCAGCTATTCACAATAAGACTAACAATCATTTTTGACCCTTCTTTATTCTGACATAATTACCTTTTTATTAGGGACTAGACTTGGTGGTAGAGATACCATGAATAGAAAATTGAAATCTAGTGGGATATTGGGCAATAACTGGGGTAAATATTGGAAGAGTGCTTTAGAACTCTAGGACTGTGCAAGAGAGATCTAACCAGCCTGGGGAAGCTAGGGGAGACTTCCTGGAGGAGGAGATATATTAATTGAATTCTGAAGGGCACAATAAAGTTAGCTGAACAAAGGGAAGAATGTGCTGGGATAAGAGAAGCATTATCATGGGTGAGAATGCCGCAGATCTTGGGAACCACAAGGAAGTCGGTGTAGAGAGGATTGGGGTGGCAGAGGGAGGAAATCATACACCAGAGAAGAAGGAAATAGAGTTAAGAGATGTATGCTGAGTTTGATGGGGTGATAAATTATTGTGGGATTTAAGACGGGAACATTACATTTGTGTTCAATACAATGTGAAGAATCAGTTTGGAGGGAGAATATTGGAAGCAAGAAAATCTACTGAGATAGAATATTCCAGGCTAGAGGGGATGAGCTAAGGAGTTGTGTTGGAATTGTTGAGAGGCTCTTGGCCCTCTGAGAGGACATCTGAGGAACTTGTGAATGAGGACAAGTGATGTGAGGAAAGAAGAGCATGCAACATGTCAAGGTGTTTGAAATTCAGTAAACTGTTGCTGTAATCCAGGCATGAGGTAAGGGACTAGACCAGGAGTGAAAACAATATTTTTATTTGACAGTTTGTTTTTAATTGGATAAGAATACAGGAGCGAGAACTCCAAAGCAACTTCTAGATTTTTAACCTCAGTCACTGAGAGAACTATGGTCTCACTGAAAGAATAAGGAAGCCAGAAAGTGAACTTTTGTAGAGGAGAATTGAGTTAGTTTTATTTGGAATATATTGGCTTTAAAGCAATAGGGAGCATATCCAAGTAGCAATATTCAATATATATTTAGACTAAAGCCATATATTTAAATAAGTGATATATTTAAATCATGCTTAGAAGCCATTTGAAAATTAATTATTTTATTCAGCATCTTGTTTTGGGGGACTGGATTACAAAGACCTAGCGGATCTCTGCTTTTGAGGAACTCTGAGTCTGTTAGAAGAATAGTATGTTCAGCGTACAATGAGAACATATAGGAAGGGATCTTTACTTTGTTGACCTGAGGAAGTTAGGGCTTCATGAAAGAAAAAGAATGTTTCAAGAATGTATGTGAATTGGGTCTGAATGGAGTAAAGAAACTAGGGTAGAAAAGCAATGGGCAGCTGTTGGGAGTAGGATGAATTTGAAAGGTAGGGAGTGCAGTGTTACTGAAGCTATTAATAAGAGTGGGCGGCATGATCAGGAGTGTCAGATATTTTGAGGAGGTCAAGGACTCAACAAATAGTTGTTTTTTATATGTTTAAAATTTTTATTACAAATTAAAAATGTAGTTCTTAAAACTCTCAACTTGACCAGATATGAAACAGTTTAAAAACCTTTAAAAGCGTAATGAGAAAAAACAGGCTTTTTAAAAAAAATGTTATTACCAAAAAGAAGCATTTTTAGGTTAAAAAATAATAAAAACCCCATGCTGTATAAATGATGCAAATAGTTCTAGTTATCTTGCCAATGGGCAAAAAACAAGCACTTAAGGTCATCAGCTCGTCTTTTGTTCATTTCTTTCTTTTCTTTTTTTTTTTTTTGATATGGAGTCTAACTCTGTTGCCTAGACTAGAGTGCAGTGGTGTGCTCACAGCCATCATATCCTTGACCTGCTGGGTTCAGGGATCTTTCCATCTCAGGCTTCCAAGTAACAGGAACTACAGGCGCATGCCACCATGCCTGGCTAATTTTTTGGTTTATTGTAGAGATGAAGTCTCACCAGGTTGCCCAGGCTAGTCTCAAACCTTTGGGCTCAGGCAGTCCTCTCGCCTCTGCCTCCCAAAGTACAGGATTATAGGCATGAGACACTGTGTCTGGCCTTGTTCGTTTCTTATTGCTGGAATTTCATGTTTTTCTTGTTGGATGACTAAACCGTACGATGGTAGAGATGGTAAGGCATCTATTCAGCCCTGCCTCGCTCAGCCTGGAGCAAATTCTCAGCTGGAGTAGTGGCTACTTTTGTCTCTTTGCCTGCCATCTTGTGATTTAGGGTTTTCTGGGAATCTGCACTGGTAATGGAAGCTGCTGTGGTACTAACGTTGGGATGGCTGCCAACCTTGGGTCCTGTCTTGATTTTCTTTATCATCTTTGCCGTTCTCTCCTGGCTGTATTTCATGAGGAGGACCCCTGCGAAATCCGAGTCTGTGACTCCACTGCCTATTCTGCCTCACTGGTCTGCTTTGTTCTCCTGCACCTGGTTGTCAGCACCCTCCATCACTTCTTGCACAGGAAGTTTGGAATTCTGTGTCTAACGCCTAATTAGCTTCGCATGTAGTAAGGTGGGAACCTTTGCCATCGTTGCGCCTGGTCTTCAGAGCACTCTCCTATCCCTTGTTCTTTTCCCCCACTCTCACTATTCTGGCAATTCTGGTAATTACATGGAAGGTCTCTAGCATGGGTAGCGTCTATAATGGTTATGGTCTCTGCATATTTACTGCCTTGAACTGGAACTTCACCAGGGCCTGTAACATCTCCCTCTGCATTCTTTTCTCCTTCAACAACATCAAATTTTACAGTCTCTCCATCTCCTACACTACGTAGCTACTTCGACGGTTATTCTTTATGGCAATACATGATGTACAAATACATCTTCCTTGGTGTCATTCCTGTTGATGAAACCAATCTGTTTCTTACATTGAACCATTTTACTGTTCCCAAAACCTTCCTTGTGATAATCTTATCCCTGTACTGCCGATGTGAAGCTGCCAATGCCACCGCCCTCTGAGCCACTGCTGTTGGTGCCTGGATTGGTGTCCGTGGTGCTGAGGGGTGGTGGGGAACGGCTGCTGGGTCTCAGCCTCACTGCTCATGGTTGCTGTGATGGTAACTAGGCCTGTGGTGGCGGTAGGGCTGCTCCTCTACCAAGCAAACTCCAAAGACAAAACATTTAAATGCTTGTTTTGGAAATCGACCAAACAAAATAACAAAGGCATTCTTTGGTGATGAAAACTAACAACTTGGAGTTTTCCAGCTTTTTATAAAACTGCAGATTCTTCTGTGTAGAGGATAAATGCAAATTATTTTGTTGATTGATACAAAGTAATAGCCCAGTCAGGTATCCTCTGAAGTTGCTGTAGTTTGTGTCTCATTTTTTCCAGAAAGGTTGAATGTTGTGACTTTTTTTTCTTTTTGAGTCGGAGTCTCATTCTGTCGCCCAGGATGGGGGGCAGTGGCACACTCATGGCCACCGCAGCCTCGACCTGCTTGGCTCAGGCAATCCTTTCACTTCAGCCTTCCAAGTACCTGGAACTACAGGCACATCCCACCTCGCCCGGCTAACTGTATAAGTATAAAGCATTTTATTGTAGATTTATTGTAGAGATGAGGTCTCGCCAGGTTTCCCAGGCTGGTCTAGAACCCATGGGCTTAGGCAATCCTCTCACCTTGGCCTCCTAAAGTGCTGGGATTATAGGCATGAGCCACCGTGCCTAGCCTGTTGTGACTTTGAATTATACCAGGAAGTAGGAGTCCTGGCTCTTTTTGGATTGTGAAGTTAAGGGTAGACCGAGATGGTGATGATGCAGGGCAAGCAGAGGCTTTTAGAGGTTGATATTTGCAAGAGGCTGCTGTGTTTCTAATATGTTATTTCCCCCAATAGGTTTAACTTCTTTATTCAGCAAAAATGTGGATTCAGAAAAGCACCCAGGAAGGTTGAACCTCGAAGATCAGAACCAGGGACATACAAGAGAAGTGCTTTGATTCCTCCTGTGGAAGAAACAGTCTTTTATCCTTCTCCGTATCCTATAAGGACTCTTGTGAAGCCTTTTTTTTTTACCATTGGGGTAAGATTTCATATCGCTAGGAGTTACCTACAAGGTTAGAAGTACAGTGTGAAAGTAAACTAAGTAAATGGAAATGGTACTGTTTGTTCCATTTGGGCTCCCTTAAAGTAAGGACAGCTGGAGGGGCATCAAAAGGATCTGAGTAGCTGGACTCATTAATTCTCATTGTAGAATCTGAATTTAATAATTGCTTTTAGAATCTGGCTCAGTTATGTAAGCCCTGGAGAAGAAACTTACGGACCTCATGTTGGGTAAGCATTTCAAATGATACTAAGCTGGTATTTTGAATTTTATTTGAGGATTTGTAGTTGGCCCCAGGGTAGTAAAATTAATAAAATGGGAAAAAAATAAAATGTGTTTTTCATCTGTTAGGTTTCACTGTGGCAGGTGTTTCTTCTGTTAATTTTTTAAAAGCAATGAAAATAAAGTATTGTCCTTGGAAATATATATAGATCTATTTCCATTTAAAATTTATTTTGTAATATATCTAATTTTATATAGTTTACAGGCTGTGCATTTGGATCAGCTGCTATTTGGCAATATGAATCACTGAAATCCAGGGTCCAGAGTTATTTTGATGGTATAAAAGCTGATTGGTTGGATAGCATAAGACCTCAAAAAGAAGGAGACATCAGAAAGGAGGTAAAGATAAGCATTGAAACATTGCTTGCTTTGTTTTAGTTAGTCACTGTTTCGTTGTTGTTTTTGTTTGTTTGTTTTTTTGAGTCAGAGTCTCACTGTCCCACAGGCTGGAGTGCAGTGGCACAATTAGAACTCACCACACTGTTGACCTCCTAGGCTCCTCAACCTCAGCCTTCTGAGTACTTGGGACTTACAGGTACATGCTACCATACCCAGCTAACTTTATTTTTTATAGAGAGGAGGTCTTGCTATGTTACCTAGGCTGGTCTCAAACTCCTGGACTCAAGCACTCTTTCTGTCTCACCCTCCCACATTGCTGGCATGAGCCACTGCACCCAGTCACAATTTTTAAAAATTGATGTGTAATAGATGTTTATATTTTCAGTGTACATGAGATATTTTGGTACATTCATAGCAATGTATCATGTAACATGTAATAATCAAATCAGAGTAATTAGAATATTCATCACCTTAAACATTTATCTTTATGCCGGGAGCATTCAAATTATTTTTGTTAACTATTTTGTAGTTTACTATAGTTATTTTACTGATACTCTAATTTTTGAAGCCTGGTTATTTATTATAAGTGCTTTTAGTTAACGGCAACATTAGATTAGTTGATGTCAGGTCAGTGCACTTAGTATTCTTCTTTACAGTCCTTTCATCACAGTAAGTATTAGTTAATGTTTTGCATACCTAATGATACTGTGTTTGACATAATTTTGTCCCTCTACCTATGTGCATCAAGAATTACCACAGATAATTGCACAAATTAATGTTTCTTTGTAGAGGATGTATCTCAGCTCCACTATAAAGTTTAAGGTTCACTGTTTTACTTGTGTCACCTTGCTGGATTACTTTAGAGTTCATATCAGAACTACAGGGAGTTTTTAAAAATATACATGTCTTAGCGGTGGTGCTACCAAGTGAATTTTTTAAAAGCTTCTCAGTGACATGATACTTACATAACTCTGGTAAATACCCACTGTTGAGTGTTTCTAACAGTGCTCAGGGTTTGGGATACAAGAAAAAAGTACAGGTACAGAGCTTTTCATTAACTTTATATGCAAGTTGATGGGCCTCTTTCTTCTTAACTGATTTTTAAAAATGTTTCCTTTTAGATAACATATAAATGTTTTAGTTAACTTCCCTGTACTTAGCACTGAGGCCTTAGTTAATGTGTGGTCCCAGGTCCATTTGGTTTTCAAGCATGTTTGTTTTTTATGACACATTGCTCTGGAGAGTTAGTTGATGTCCTCTTTTCCCCTTCCCAGGAATAGTGTGATCTTGCCACGTGAGAGCCTGTGAAGGAAACCTTGTGTTTTCTTTTTGCTAATGATAGTTTGAGGTTCCTCTGAGTAGGGAAAAGTATTCGTTGCTCCTTGTTTGCCATAGACAAATTCAAGAAGCATGAGCCCTATCTGTTTTAGAGAGGCTTTATGCCAGAAGAACAGTGGATAATATTTGCAGGTGAAAATGACAATAACTAGCAATAGATTTTTATTTAGTACAGCATTGTTTGAGAAGATAATAGCACTGGCCTATTCCGTTAACCTGGATCCCTTAGAAAGCTACAGGTTTCCAGCACATCTCTGCACTATTAAGTGTTGATACCCAAATGTATGCAAATGGTTCTTGAGAATGGTGAAAAATGACGCAAACAGCATATGTATCCAAAGGTGGATTTGTTTTAAAGGTGGATTAATCCAAAGGTGAATTTGTTTATAAAATGATTAAACAAATGCTAGAGGGTAGACACGGTGACTCACGCCTGTAAACCCAGCATTTTGGGAGGTCAAGGCAAGAGGATTACTTTAGCCCAGAAGTTTGAGACCAGTCTAAGCAACATAGTGAGACCTCAACTCTACAAAAATCCAAAACTAGCCTGGCATGGTGGCGTGTGCCTGTAGTCCCAGCTACTTGGGAGGCTGAGGTGCAAGGATCACCCAAACCCAGGCAGTTGAGGCTGTAGTGATTATGCCACTGTACCCCAGCCTGGGTTACAGAGTGAGACTGATGCGGAAAAAAAAAGGTGCAAATGCTAGGTTATAATATATAAAATTCATGCCCATTAAAGAAGATTGATAGAAGCAATATATATATATATAACATGGGAAAATGAAAGTCCTGGAAACCCCTTTTATATTTCTATGTAAGCAGTGAATAAGGTCTGGGAGCTTTTACACAATTTAATTATAATTACAGAAATGGAATCATATACATACTAATCTGTAGTTTCTTTTTACCTTGGATTTCTTTCCATAGCAAAGTCTGGTTCAGTTTTATAGTTAGAACATATTTTTTATTTAAAAACTTTGATAATGACAGACTTCAAACAAATACAAAAGGTAATAATTAGTCTGATGAACCCATTATCATCTTACTTAGTGATTTTCAACATGTGACTAATTTTGTTTTTCATCTAATTCCTTTTCATTCTCCCTTTCCACCACTGTATTATTGCAAAGCAAATCCTAGGCATATTTCATCCATAAAATTTTCAACATGTATCCCTGAGAAATTAGGATTCTCTTTTTTTTGTACTTTAAGACCATTATATCTTTTAAAAAATAGCAATTTAGTAGAAAATATTCTCAGAATTTTGAAACTACATAGGACTTTGGCAAGAATAATCACTTACTTGGTATCTGTGTATATCTGAGGTGCCAGAGACGTCACATTATTGTTATTCCTTATGACAACACTGCTAGGTATCTATTGTTGTCCCATTTTATAGATCAAGAAACTGAAGTTTAGAAATGATTTGTCTGAGGTCCCAGAGCAAACCAGTGGCTCTGTGTAGAGAATGTAGGGCATCTGACTATAAAACACATGCCCCTTCCTCTCTACCACATATTTATGATGTCTGTGGTCACCAGTGATTTTTGCAGATAAGTAATTCCTCTTTCATGTGCAGGGCATTTTCTTTCTGGATTTACATTTCTCTAGCTTGAAACTTTCCATATACGGTGATAATGCAATTTTCCTTCTGTTTTAGATTAACAAGTGGTGGAATAACCTAAGTGATGGCCAGCGGACTGTGACAGGTTTGTGTTAGCTTACACGTTTTAGCCATTCAAGGGAAGAGAAATCAAACTAAAAGGTACAGTATGTCACAAGCAATAACTTTTTGTACCATGCTCATCATCAGTGGTTTAGAAGATATAGACAGTCTGAACCTATAGGTTAATATAATAGTGTATAAAATCGTTAGGCATAAAGGTTTACCTGATGCTCTGGGTCAGTTATTTTCTAATTTTGATCTAGTGTGATAATAATCAAATGATCACTTGTAGAATCCCAGCTTGTGAAGTACCTTATGTAATGATTATTACATCCCTTGTTAAAGAGACTAAAGGAGACATTAAGTACTTTGTATATACAGGGTACTTTAATATACATTCTCTCCCTTCCTCACAGAGTTGCTTACAGAGTAGCTGTTTTCCTTTTTTCAAATAAGAAAACTGACTTTCACAGAAGAAACTTTTTGAAGGTCAAATTACTAGTAAGTAGTGGAGTTGAGGAGTTTCAAAACCCAAATCTGTATCATTCTCTCTTCTCCTCTACTCTATTTATAAAACCCTCTTTAGATGTAAGCATGCCATGCATGTTGTGAATTTTTATGGGAAGACAGAACTGGCTCTTAAAGGTAACACTTGTGCAATATTTTATGGGCTAAGTTATTTGAGAAACTTGGGAAAATGGATTTGTGACTTCTTTAGTAATCGAGTAGGTAAGAAAAAGTTATTACTAGAGAATTGTAAAATATTGCTTTTTCTCAAGTATAATTAGACTTATTGGTTGATACTCTTAATTTCAGTGTTTGGGATAAGGGTGCTTATCTTTCTGTATTAAAACAGATTCTTCTGGAAAACTTAATTTTTCTGATTTTTTTGAACCTTATCAAGTCTTCAGGTTATGGTTCAGACATTGCTTCCTTTAGGAAGTGCTTTCTTTTTTCTGAACTCATTGCAGTTTTCATATGCAGCCTGCCTTATATAGTTGTCTGTGTAGCATCCTTAGAGCAGTGTAAGCTTCTGAGGAAAATCATGAGATTTAAAAAATTTTGTTATATCACCTAGCACATATCATGCACATAGTAAAGGCACTCAGTTAAAATCTGTTAAATGAATGAATGGGATCTTGAACCAAGGGATTGAGGTTTTTCAAAGTATTTTGCAATACCTAAGTCTGTAGAATTGATTAGTCAGTGATTACTTCAAAGGGAGTTTTTTAGTAGCACATCTGTTTTCACTGAGATTATTGTGTTTTGTTTGCTTTTTTGAAAGTAACCAAAATTAACATTTCTTTAGGGTAACAAGATTTTGATTTTCTTCACTAATTTTAAAGCATATTGATACCTCATATTCTTTGAAGGTGGTAAAGACTTTATGCCATTTAACATATGAAGAAGCCTGGGATCAGAATTTGAAACTTTTTCTCATGCCAGTAAATAGTTCATTCAAAGAAGCCAGTATTTGGAGGCTTCAGAATTATTTCCCCTAGCATTTTTCTTTTTTTAATCAAGTCAGTCATTTGACATGAAGGGCATAGTAGTAGAGAGAGATACTTGTGCTATAACTAGCAACTTGAGTGTGAAGTGCTTTAAACAACATAAATGTGAATGGTCATAGGGTCATGCTAAAGGTCTGTCTCTGTCTCTCTTTTTTTTTTTGTAACAAGGTCTCACTCTTGCCCAGCCTAGAGTACAATGGCATGATCCTGACTCACTGCAGCCTTGAGGCACATGCCAGCGTGCCTGGCTAAATTTTTTATCTTTTTTGTAGAGATGCAGTTTCACTATGTGGCCTAGGCTTGTTTTGAACGCCTGGGCTCAAGTTATCCTGCTACCTTGACCTCCCAAAGTGCTGGGATTACAGGCATGAGCACTGTGCCTAGCCTCTAATCTTTATTTTTAAGCTATCCAGGTGACGTTAAAAAACTGAGGAAATGCTCTTTGAACTGTTTTGTGGCACCTCAGACTTCTTTTGTAGGAAATAATTGTTCTGATAGTAGTGATTCTAGCTTTACAACATCTGTAAGTGATGCTTAATACAGTAATAAGTATTCTCTGAGATTCTCAAGGATATACTGGAACTTTGGTTATGTCTTGTCTTTTTTCAGAGGTGCCAGTTAGTGCAGTTTGCCTTGCTTGGCTCTCCTGATCATAGACCGATCCTAAATGAGGTCGGCTCAGCTCCTGGTTTTAATTGACAATAGAGCTACAGGGTGACAGGTTCACTCTGTCCCACTTACTTTCTTTGGATTATAGATGTTCTGAGTGTTGGGTTTTTTCTCTTCTTCATTTTGTATTTTGAAAGGACTTGGCAAGTTCTGATCTAGAGAACTTCAAAGCTTTGTGAGACCAATGTGCTTCTCTGCTTTGTAGTATTCATACCTAGACAATGACAGCATGAAAGTTCTAATAAGTTAAAGGTTTCTCACTATTACACCCAACATGTCACATGAGTATTTCTTGCTATTGAATCTGCTGGGCTCCTGAGTTTGGATGGCAAGATTTGGGATATAACAAGTTCAAACAAGACAATAAAGTGTTATCTAAATGTATGTGGTTCCTGAGTTTGAGATAGTAAGGGGGTATCTCAAATTTATATCTCATGAATATCCATATCATGTCCATAAGAACAGTTCAGATAATAAAAGATACCCTTAATTTATTTTTATTTTTATTTGTTTTTGACTTGGAGTCTCACTCTGTTGCCCAGGCTGGAGGGCAGTGGCACGCTCATGGCCACCGCAGCCTCGACCTGCTGGGCTCAGGCGATCCTTCTGCCTCAGCCTTTCAAGCAGCTGGAACTACAGGCATGCACCACCCCACCTAGATAATTTTTTAAGTTTATTGTAGAGATGAGATCTCACCAAGTTGTCCTGGCTGATCTTGAACCCCTGGACTCAAGCAATCTTCTCGCCTCAGCCTTCCAAAGTGCTGGGTTTACAGGCTTGAGCTACCGCACCCGGCCTGCTAAATTTATTTTATTGTTAAGATGGAGTCCAGTGGTGAAGTGAAAAACCTCCCTTTCTAATACCTCATGCCAAATTTGGAGTCCCTAATTTTTGACTGTTCTAGTAGCTCAACCTGTCCCTGGGAATCCCTTTTTATTTATTTATTTATTTAATTTTAGGGGGAGAGAATCCCAATTAATTAATTAATTTGAGTTGGAGTCTCACTCTCTTGCCCAGGCTGGAGGGCAGTGGCATGCTCACATTCACTACAGCCTTGACCTGCTGGGCTTAGGCAATCCTTCTGCCTCAGCCTTCCAAGTAGCTGCACTATAGGCAAGTGCTACCATGCCAAGCATAGGGAATCCCTTTTTAAAGGTGTGTTAGAGAACTGGTTTTAATCCTTTTTTGTTTGGTTGGGGGGGATCTTAATTGTTACACAGAAATCTCCCCACGCTTCAGATTACTCTGAAAAAAGAAATCATTTATATAAGCTCACTTGGTGTTTGTAGAATAAGGGTGGGAGCATAAGGTGGCATTCTTTTTTTAAAAAATTCTTTTGAGTTAGAGTGTCACTCTGTTACCCACGTTGGAGTGCAATGGCACACTCATGATCACCACAGCCTTGAACTGCTGGGCTCAGGTGATCCTTTCGCCTCAGCCTTCCAAGTAGCTGAAACTATAGGCGTACGCCACCATACCAGGCTAATTTTTTTTTAAAATTTATTGTAGAGACAAAGCCTCGCCAAGTTGCCCAGGCTTGTCTCAAACCTCTCGACTCAGACAATCCTCGTCTCCACTTCCCAAAGTGCTGGGATTACAGGTGTGAGCCACCATGCCCCTGGTGCTATCGTGTTTCAGATACTTTTCTGTTCTGTTGCCTTGATCTGTCAGGATTTTAAGCCTCTCCTGGAGGTCTTCAGGCAACCTCTCGAAAGAGTATTTTTCTTACCTTTCTACTTTTTGGGATGTCTTTGAGGCACTTGTCAGATTTTCCTGTTAGTTCAACAGAATGCCGACTTCAGTAGAATGGAATTCAAGTAAAACCAAGAGGGGAAAACCAGCCAAATTACCATTTCTGATCAAAGAGAGGATAGAGAAAAGGATGGGGAGAGAAATCTGAAGAAAACTGAACCCAGTTCCTCTACTAGTCCATATCTTTTGTCAACTCCAGTTTTTTCATTTGCTATTCTGTTGTCATCAGAATAATTTTTTTTAGTTTCAATTTTCTCTTCTGTTGTGTCAAAGGTTTTGAGCTCTCCTTCCAGACTAAGGTCTTCCCTATTTCTTACGTTGCTGGTAAGGCAATGTTTTCCTTGCTCTTGTAGCTTATCTTTACCTTTTTCTTTCTTTTTTTTGAGAAACAGGTTTCGCTCTGCCACTGTGGCTGGAGTGTAGTGCAATCATATATCACACTGCAGCCTCAAACTCCTGGGCTCAAGCAATCTTCCTGCCTCCGCCTCCTGAGTAGCTGGGACTACAGGTGTGTGCCACCATGTCAGGCTAATTTTAAAAATTTTTTTATAGAGACAGAGTCTCACTATGTTGCCCAGGCTGGCGTCGAACTCCTGGTCTTAAGTGATCCTCCTGCCTTGGCCTCCTAAAGCAAGCATGAGCCAGTGCGTCTAGCCTCGTCTTTATCTGTAGACAAATTATTTCTGGGGAAGGAATAAAAAATTAATGTTTGACTGCCAACTAGACTACAGGTATTCTGCTATGTGGTTTACATGCATTTATATTATGAGGGGGACACACAGAAAAAACTCAGAATTTATTTATAAAAAATTATGTATTCGTACGTTTAAACTTCAGTCACTTTTAAAGTACCCTTTGATGCAGTTCACTTATTGAGATGCTTTTTCCACTGCTTAAAACAGTTTTTGAACTCATAAATTTTGATGCCTTTAGTGCTGCCATTTTTTTGTTTCACCTCTTCCACATCAGCAAAACATTTCCCTTTGAGGACTTTTTTCATCTGGGGGGACACAAAAAAAGTCGCTCAGGGTGAAATCAGAATAGGGCAGATGGAGCATGGGGTCATATCATTTTTGGTCAAAAATTGCTGAACATTCAGCATGGTGTGGGC